AGGGGGGGGGGGGGGGGGGAATGATGAGGGCACAGTGTGTGTCTGGTGTCCTGTGATTAAAATGGGGCACTGTTACACAAATACAGGAAAACCCAGAGAAGATTCAGAATTATTTCCGAACCCACCAAAAAAGGGAGTCTTCAGTTTGCTTGCAGATCAGTTTTAAGGACAGTGATTTTAATTCTGCCCACTTGATTTGTTTATCTTAGAGAAGCAGAAAGGTTTTCTGTCCCACTGGATAGACCCACCCAGAGCCCAGCCGTGGAATTGCCCCTTGTAAGGAGTGATCTTAGTTCCCGACCCAGGTATGGCAACAGTTCTGTAGCTGAATTATAAGAATGCTTATTTCGGTGAATGTGGCAGCTGAAATACTACTAAATCTCTCTAAACCCTCCAGAATCTGGTTCGTTGGGGTTTGTTTTTTTTTTTTTTTTTTTTTTGTTTTGGGGGGTTTTTTGGGTTTTTTTTGTTTTTTTTTTTGTTTTGTTTTGTTTTTTGTTTTTTTTTTGTTTTGGGGGGTTTTTTGGGTTTTTTTTGTTTTTTTTTTTGTTTTGTTTTGTTTTTTGTTTTTTTTTTTTTTTGGGGGGTTTTTTTGGGTTTTTTGGTTTTTTTTTTTTTGTTGTTTTTTTTTTTTTTTTTTTTTTGGGGTTTTTTTTTTTTATTTTTTTTGTTTGGTTTTTTAAATTTTTTTTTAATTTCTTGGGGGTTTTTGTGTGTTTTGTTTTTTGTTTTTAAATAAAATACTGCTACTTCCTACTGATGACCTTTGTACTTCCACGGCACAAACATGAACATCAGGAAACAGGTTTCCACTGTGAGGGTGATGGAACAGTAGCACTGGGCTGCCCAGGGAGGTTTTGGAGTCACCATCCTTGGAAATATTCAAAAGCTAGGCATGGTCCTGGGCAACCAGCTCAGGGAGACCCTGCCTGGGGGCTCTGAAGTCCCTGTCACCCTCAGCACTTCTGTGGCCCTGTGAAATAACCAGAGGTCACACCCACCACCTCCTAAGGTACAGCTTAGCTTTCCTTATGGTTCCCTTATGGGCAGGCACAGGAGGGAGGCTTCAGTTTGTCTCACTTCAGAAAAATTCCTGTGTTTTGGATAGAACTACACAGTTCTTTGTAAAGCTGTTCCCTAACCTCTGTGTTGGTGGTTAGGAGCTCTCCTGTGACTGGGAACACTGGGCAGGATCATGTCCTGAGGATGAGAAAATGAAATCTGTGTTTTCAGTGTCTTGACTGCTGCAGACAGGGAGCTGCTGTAGAACACATGGCACTGCTTAGTGCTGCCGTCCTAGGAGTTAGCACTTGCACTGCTTTTTTTGTAGGGTTGATCTGTAGGTGAAGGCTGCTTCCAGATACAGTGCTGCAAAGATGAATGCTAGAATCTATTTCTGGATCATGGTCAGACATATAAATACTGAGCTGTTAAAAGCTCTGTCAAGACTGAGGCATTTCTGAGTAGGTGCAGAAGGAGAATTTCACATGCCTGAAGTCTTAAGACCAAGCATGCTGCTGACACATTCAGGTATTCCCAAAGTTAGCACAGCAGAGGGGAGTGGCACCTTTGACTTTTGATGCCTAAATTATATTAAAACTTTGATACCCAGATTTTGATACCTACATCCTCATTTAGATCTGACCTAAGGTAGTATTTCTGCTGGGAGTGCTCACTGGGAGGGTTTTGTGCCAAATTTCTTGTATTTTGCACTTGATGTAGTGAACCGTGATTTCAAACAAGACGCCTTCAAACAGAGGGAAGCTGCATTAATCCACATTCATTCTGGAAAGGTTTCAAGCTCTCCTTGGCCAAAAGGGGAACTTAAAAGGTGTCTGGGGGTCACCTTGTTTCCCTGCTGCTAACAAAACATGATGCACATGCTAAATCAGCTCTAATAGATGTGTAGTCTGATTTTGTACCAGTGCATTCCTTAAGGAAGAAACCTAATAAAACGCAATTCAGAAAACCAAGGAAGATGCGACTGAGAAAAAAATTAAGACAGATTTTTCCATTAGAAGCTGAAGTTTTATTACAGGATAAGAGTACATAAAGCACATCTAAAATCGATGTGTTCAATGCACTTAATAAAGGTAATGTAATATTAAAGGTACGGTTTCTAAGTACAATATAACAACATTCATATTAGAATGAAAATTGGAGTATTTAAAAGACAACATTAAATCTCTTATTTTTACAGTCATATTTACAAAATGAATCAAAATACTTTTTTCGGGACCGAGTAAAATAACAAACTTGAATATAAGCAGGCTATTGTAAGAGTGAGTTGGAAAGGTCTATGGAAGGGAGAAGTGAAGTGACTGGGTAAAGATCATTAGCAAAGGTTTAGTACAATACCACATCCTCTTGATGGCTTACATTTTATTGTGGCTAGAAAAGGGATTTATACATACTGTACACATAACAGACAGCACATATTTACATGTACAGTATAATTGCATTAAACTTGTGTGTATTTACAGAAATTTGAGCATATCACTCAACGAGGTTTTTAAGTCTGTGTGCTTCATCTTCAATCTGATGTATATTTGTAATCAGCATTTATTCTGGCGTTGGTATGTTGAACATTTAGTAAAGAGGGAGGATAAATGTTAACCAAATGGTTTTGCATAAATATATCAAACTGTTAAAACAACAGGGAGAATGTGTTCCTGGCATTACCTATAGGTTGGTACATACAAATTTAAGAGTGAGTCCTTCTCTCTTTGAAAATATCAAAAGGTGACTTAAATCAAGAAGGGAAAACAAAATTGTCATGGCTTATATTTAAATAAGATTGTAGCTTCAAGAGGTTTTTATAATTGTCCTGATAGTGTTTGCAGTTAAACATTCCACTTATGAAAATATACCCATGGTGCAGTAAAGTTTGTTTTTGTTTTTAGGTCAACAGTATGTTTGCTGTTTAAAAAAAATTATTTATATATATATATTCCTTGGATTGAGGGTATAAAAGCAGTGCATGGAAGCCAAGAACCATGGCTTTAAAATTCACTACCTTCTATTATCAAAAAGTGCAGTAAACAGAAACATTGTTATTAATAAATTGCTCAAAAATCTTTGCTAAAGATCTTATAAATTCAGTAATATTACAGAAAAATTCTAATAAATATTTAAAAGGTTAATTACCTCCTTAGTTAGATATTTGATATCCATCAGTTTTTAAGAATGAACATGAAAACAATATCTAGAATGAAAGGAACAGGGGACAGGAATATTTTGAAGGGTATGTGACTAGGTAAATTAAGGTATACATGAAAAAAATAAAAACAAAACCCCCATACCTGACAAAATGTTGCAAATTCCACTTCTTAATTAACTTTAGTTGCTACTGGCTGTCCTTGGATACGTATGCATGGTGTATAAAGCATATCCAGGGACTGAATTTACAGAACATTCCTATTTACAGTAACTGCAGTTAAGTGTGTGGGCATGGCCCAGTAACATCCGCAGTCTGAGCGTGTACAGATCCTATTTAAAGTGAGGAGGGAGGAAGGCACCCAGCACAATGACATCTAGAAATTTCCCATGCAACAACAGCATAGAATTCTCCCAACGAGCCAAAGAACTACCTCCCTTTCAGACAGACAGCACATTGTAATTATTTTATACTGGCAGATTAGATGTTTTTCTTATTTGGAATACAATACAGGCAGACTCTTTTAGTAACCAAAAGGATAACAAGCTGGACAGAACAATTTTAATAACATTAATAATTAATAATGTTAATAATGTAGAAAAAAAATTCTACATTTGATATCAAGTATCTGTACCGGTGAAGTAATTTTCTCCTTATTAAATATACTATAGAATAATTTATATAATGACACTATGCATTTAAAGAGAAAACCATGTCCCAAATCTTGTACTCTGATACAGGTACTTGTTTGGCATATGTTGGTGTATATATATATATACACAAATATATATATTTATATATAGTTATACTCAGTGAAATTAACAAGACCCAAAGGTGGTATTGTCTAGGAATAAAAGGGGTTTGTTTGTTTTTGTTCACAAAAGT